TCATCATTTGTTGAATAGATTTTTCTTTCTCTACTGTGTAGTTTTGGTTCTTTTGACATAATTAACACTCCATATAAGTGTGGGTTTATTTCTAGACTTTCAATTTGTATTTCTATTTTTATTCTTATTCCAATATCATACTGTTTTGATTAATATAACTTTATAGAACAGTTTAAATCTGGAAGTGTGATAACTCTGTTCTTTTTTAGAATTCCTCTCAATATTTGCAGTCTTTTGTAGTTCCATATAAATTTCAGTGATGTTTGTCATATTTCTTTGAAGAATGCCTTTGAGACACTATTTGTATTGCATTGACCCTGTATATTAATATGGGTGTGATGGCCCACATTTTAATAATGTTAATTCTTCCATTTATGAGCAGAGGATATCTTTTCATTTCATATGTCTTCCATTTCATTTAAGGATTTCCTATAGCTTTAATTTTTATGTTAATTTTTAAGTCCATTTTTACATTTATTCCCGAACATTTAATTCTTTTTTAATGTGATTATAAATATGACTGTTTTGTCTTTCCCTGGGGTATACTCAATTTCAAATAATAGCATTCATCAATGGTCTCATTTACATATTCATACTTTCATTCAACTACCTTTCATCTTTTCTTTATCAGGTATTGAAATGTGCTCTAGGAATAGGTACATCTATGAACAAACAGCAGACATGATTTCTGACCTTTTAGATATATATATATATCAACACAGAGTTATATAATATCCCTTAATTCCTGCAAAATTAAAAAAAAAAACTACACAATGGTTTATTGTAGTTGGAAATGCTAACATAAATATCGGGGTTTAGGAAAATATTCCTTGAATAAGTGACATTTAAGCTGTTGCAAAGTTTTGTGATATGCTGCTCGATGTTGGGAATGTGAAGATAAACGTGACATAGTCCCTATTCTTACAGAATTACTATCTAGGAAGAAGATACACCAACCAGTAATGACAGTCCTCTCTAAAAAGTATTCAGTAGAAGCATGTGTATTGTGGTGTATCCTGAAAGTGGGTGGTTAATTCTTTCTTTTTTATTAAAGATTTATTTATGCATATGAGAGTTGGGGTACAGGCCAGAGATGTGGACATGAGAGGATACATCAGAGCGAGTGGGGAACAGATCAGGGAGACTGACTGAAATAAACTGCTGAGGGGAGCAGCGGGTGAGACAGGAGAGGTCTGCTGCACCATGTCGGTTGCTCTCTGGCCAGCCAGGGATTGAACTCGTGCTGCAGAGGTTGCAGATTGCTTCATAGTGCAGTGTTTAATCCCTTGCGCCACCAGGGAGCTCCTGATTAATTCTTTCTTAATGTCAGAAAAGGCTTTATGAGAAGAGGTGACCTCAGTGTGGGTTTTGAAGGACAGTAATTTTAAAGGGTAAAGGTTAGCATGCAGTCTACACTAGGAACAATAAAGCTACTAATGCCTGGAAGTAAGAAGAAACCCAGTATGTTTGGAAAACTCCTATGTAGAGACAAGGACTAGGGAGGCTATGGCTAATGATACGATTATGTATACAGCAGGATGGTAGCATTTAAGGCATGTAAAATATTGTATGGAAGAGATAAAATTTCTCTTTTAGGAATGGGGGAGACTTTGGATTATTCATTAGGGGCTTTTAATTGATTTGTGTATTTATGATTACTCTGACTACAAAAAGATGGATTGATTTGGCTGAGTTCAGAAAGACTGAACTCAGAAACTGAGAACAACTAAGACGTGATAAAAAAAAATAGGACGTCATTGATATAGATCCTGAGAAAGAAGGGAAGGACCTCAAATGTGGCCATAGCCAGGGAGATTTATGGTGTGTGAATGTGTGTGTGAGAGCAGGGAGGCGAACAGGAGGAGGAAGGAGAGACAGAGAAAATACGAATCAATCAATGGCAATTGGAGAGTTTCTGGCTGTAATATAAGAAGGAGAGAGAGGGGACCCCAGAATAATTGATATTCCTACCTTCTGGGTAATTAATAGTATCTGTGGAAGCTAGTGGAAAACCCTGAGATTTGGGGTTTGAGTTCTGGCTATATTACTTACTACTTGGATTAGAAGAAGTTACTTAATAACTGCAAAATCTCAGTTTTGTCTTTGATATAAAAATGTCTTCAATAATTTTGTGGGCTCACAGGAAGATAATTATGAAAATGCTTGGCACAATGTTTTGTTCATAATCTACATTTAACACTTATTTTCTTCCTGATGTCCAAAGGACACTCTGGATTAGATAACTAAACTATATAGAATTCAAATGGCTTAATGTAATGTAGTGAGTTCAATTTTAGGCATTGAGTTTACAGTTGGTATTGTCTATCTAGATAAATATATCCACTATATATCTAGAAATAATAGTTGGCATCATAGAAGGAGAGTATGAATAAAAGTCTAAAAATTTGGAGATATAATTCTGAGGTGACAGTTTAAATCACATGGGTGAATGAGATTCCACCAAGTGGAAAGTAAGAGATGATTTGAAGTGAATTTTCTAGTGCTCAACATCTAAATTAGTAGTAAGCAGAACTACTCCCCCCATTAAAAAAAACTAGACAATTAAGACATGATTTAAAACATAGAGACAAAACTTTGAAAATAAGAACAAAAATAAGAACAAGACATGCCTAGTGCAAGCTCCTTGAGATGTCTTAGAATTGAAAAAAATAATTTGAAAAGTAATTTGAAAAATAAAGAGAACTCATAAACAACCGAGACAATATGACAACCGTAGAGCAATTTCCATATAATGGTGAGGAACAGAATGAAGGTTGCAGTAAATTGAGGTGATAGCAGGAATAAGTAGTCATGAGACAGAATGCTCTTTTAAGAAGCTTGATATAGAGGGCTGAGATATTAGTTGGAAGTATATACAAAGAAGAAAAGAGGCTTTAATTTATAGTAACAGACACTGAGAGAAAAGACCTAGAATTAAAGACAAGAAAGGAGATAAATGATAGGAGATAAATAATGAAGAAAATCTCTAGAAAAGGCTGTAGATCAGAAGATATAAATCACAAAGAAAGCATTTGTCTCTGGGCCTCCCTGTTGGCTGAAGGGGTTAAGTCTCAGCACTATCAAGCTGTCAGCAGGCACTGCAAGGTGAGTTTGATCCCCAGATCCCCAGCCCAGGGAGTTGACCCACATGGCACAGCAGAACTTACTTATCTTGCCTGCTGCTCCCTCAGCAGTGGATTTCAGTCAATTGACCCATTCTGTTCCTCACTCTCTCTCCGGTGAAACCTTTTACCAACCCCCACCTCTGGCCTACACCCCAGCTCTTGTATGCATAAATGAATAAAATAAATCTTTAAAGAAGACATTTGTTTCTTTTGGAAGAATGAACAACCTCCCTGGTAGTCAATGTAAGGATTTAAGGTAAGAAAGAATATTAATAGTCAGAAATTAAGAAACTTCCAGTGTTAGCCCAGCAGTTATTTTATCCTGTTAGGTAGCTTTTATTTGGTATGTCTTAATAACTTACATTTTGAGTACCTTAATTAGATGGTTTAGGACCTTTTATTGTTTCTAGAGAATATGAATCATTAAATTTGTAGTCAGTGAACACTCAGTAAAACTTCACCTCTTTGTGCAAAAAAATTCTCAGGAAATAGTGGTCCTCAATAAAGTATCCTCAAGAATGATGTAGTCTCAAAAATTGCCGTGTGCCAGGGTCTCAGAGTGATACAGAACTGTGTTCCCCTAATGACTTGTTAATCCACGGAAATGTTAGAACTAAACTTCATGAAGACTTGACATCAGGACATTGGAGGATGTGTTAGTTTTTTTTTTTAACTTTATTGAGGTAACATTGGTTTAAAACACACATCTTTTCAAATGTATGTGATCACACCATGCTCACCACCGAAGTACCAATAACGTTCTGCCGCAACCCAGTGGACCATCTACCCTTTGATTCTGCACAACCCTCTTGCCCTCTAACTTCAGTTCTGCTGTCAGAATTCAGGTGTCTGTTTTGGCTTAGTTTTGTCTGTTCCTTTTTCGTTTTTTTTTTTTTTTTTTCCTTATACTCCACACATGAATGAAGTCATCTGGTATTTTTCTTTGATTTTCTGACAAGTTTTGCTTATCATAATCCCCTCCAGTTTATTCATGAGCTTACAAATAGCAAGATTTCACCTTTTTAAAAAGATAGCTGTATAGTGATGTGATGGTCTCTATTGTTAACTATTACTGTGAGTTTAGCTTTTGCTTGTTGGAAAGATGGTTTTATATATCTATGTATTTTTTTCTTTTTATTCAACAATTAGGTTTGGCTTAAATTAGGATTATAAACATTTAATTTTGTATCATGTTTACATTTGAAAAAAAGAACCACAAGACCTTTTCTAGAACGTATCATTTAATTTGATCATCTTCATTTTATTATAAACACATAAAAATACAACTAATTCCTTCTCATGTTGATGATATAGAAATGATAAGGAACAGATCTTGGATTTATATTATAAAGGAATTATGGTAAATTGTGCAAATGGAAGGATTACACATTTAAAAAACAGCTCCAAGTTGATGGGAATTCAACCCCAAGTCAGCATCTCAAATAAAGGCTTTCAAAGTAATGTCTGAGTAGAATAGGTTATATTTGGAGGTGTTTTAATATCATAGGTACCTTAATAATGTATACTATTTTTGGCTCCTCTTATCGCTTCACATAGGGTCATATTTTTACCATCATGTAAGGACCATTAATATGTCTTTGGTTTTTATTACTTATCTACCTTCTATCTGGATGATCTCACCCATCATGTTCATGAATTATTCTGTTGAAGTTCTTTGAAATATATTTCATTAACGTTGATCTTCTTGCTATATTCATATATGTCTAAACACTGAGTGGGTATGATAGCTTGTGATAGCTTGTAGATTAGAGCTTGTGATAGCTCAGTAGATTAAATTCTTAGTATTTTAAAAATTACACTTTGGTCCTTTGCATAAGGCTTCCTTGTCATCTTGTATTTCATGCTTTGGTGAAGGACACAACCAAGTACCAGACACTTAACATTGGGAAGGAAGCATGATTTCACATTCAGGTAAATATCAAAGTCAACATTGTCATACTTCATTATAGGTTTACTTTTCCCATGGCATTTGTTTTCAGTAGCTGTGCTGGTATCATTTTTCATTTTCTTTAAAGAACAATTGACAGTTTAGCTTCCTTTTTTTTTTCTTCCTATGTCAATATTGGTAATTTGAATTTTTATAAAAGGTGTCTATTTCATCCAAATGTTACATGTTATTCCCATATAGTTCAAAAAATGGCTAAGATTAAAAAATCTACAGCTTTGCTACTTTTATTCCTACTTTAAAAAAAATTATATTCCTGTAGTTGAAGACCCTTTTATTGGCATCTGATATTGTCTTTGTATTCTCTGCTTTCCATTGCATTAATTGATGATGTCATCTAATTTTCTGTTTGAAATTCTTTGAATTTACTTGGCTGTTTTCCCAATTGCTGAGCTTGAATGCCCTATTTAATATTTTAAAAATATTTTAAATTAAAATATTTAAATTTAAAAATATTTTAAAATGATAAATTATAGCATCTACTGCATATATTAGACACACTTCACTTGATTTGATTGGTAATGTTTTTGTAATGGTCATTTTTATGTGTCAACATGGCTCGGTTAAGGGATGCTCAGGTGATAAAACATTTCTTGGTATTTCTGTGAGGGTGTTTTAGAAGGTTAATCTTTGAATTGATGGATTGAGTAAATAATATCTTTGCTTACCAATGTGATTGGAGATTATCCAGTCCATTGAGGGTTCAATAAGAACAAAAGGGGGGAAGCATATTTTCTTTCTCAGTTTTCTTGAACTAGAACATCTATCATTTCCTACTCTAAGACATCAGAACTCCTGATTCTTGTGCTTTTGAACTCTGAGATGACTTAGATCAGTGTATCGTCCTAATTCTTAGGTCTTTAGTGTCTGATTTTCCTCATTCTCTAGCTTTTCAATGCAATTGTGGTGTAGCTCAGCCTCCATTACAGTGTGAGCCATTGCCTATAATAAATCTGCTCTTCATACATATCCTGTTGTTTCTGCTTCTCTGAAGAACACTACTTTACATTTTGGTACTCAGTCATTCTAGAAGAATAGAATTTTTAGATTGAGTATTTTAGGGTTTCTGGAATTGGCTTGCCAGTCTAACTAGATTTAAATATGCTAATGATTTCATTGTCAGTACTAAAAAAAACACTGGTTGTCTATACTATCCTTTTTACAGAAATATATAACATATCTGCATTAAATAATCCTTATCAACCACTTGAAAGAAGCAAGAAGCTAGGTGATTTTGTATGATACTTTCAAATATTTTTTGATAACTGAGAAATGCATTGAGTTGATTGGTTGCTACTAATAAGCTATCAATGTTATTACTGGACAAAGTGGTGAAAGAAAATGATGAGCCTCAGACATCCAAATTCCCACCCTTGAACCTGTATACATTATCTAAGAACTTTTAGGTGTCCCCTGAGCAAGAGTTCTCTAGTGGCAGGGCTGAAATTGTTGAATATAAACAGAAAACTCATCCTGAGATTGGTTGAATTACAATGTAAGTTGAATTCCTAGTCTTGTAAGGTGTCCACTATTAAATTGAGGGCATTAATTGGGAATGAATGCTTTCCTTTAAGTTGGGATGGGCTGTGTGGAAAAACCACATTGAAGCTGGATATATTAAACTAAATTCTTAGGGGTCTTACTTGTCATGGAAAGAGGTCTCCCAGTAAAAGAAATCTGCTCAACCCACACTGAAAGGAAGAAGTTCAGAAAACATAATTTTAACTAATTATCTGAGGAGTAAATTTGTGAGGTAAATTCCAGCATCCTTGAAGAGCTCTGTGGTCACTTTTGGTAGACTAGGCTTTACAGTGGGAACCCATGGAGATAATAACATTTGTCACAATGTTATTTTGAGAATTAATAGATATAAAGCTCTAATTATGGTACATTAAACATAAAAAGTATTCAGTAACAACAACTAAAATAAAAAGAATTTAATATCCAGTTCAGTCCTGGAACATTTATTTAGAAAAATATGATCCATGCAACTAGTCCAGATTCAGATTTTGAACTTTTTGGTTCCATATGCTCATGGACTGTCATATCCTGAAGACTAACTGTTACGTATTACCAAGAAAAATTATCCACATTGAATCTAATGATAAGTGTGGAAAGGGTAAAACCAAATGAAAAGATAGAAATAAAAAGCAGGGCCTCCCTGGTGTTGCAGGGATTAAGACACAACTTATGAAGCTATCAACAGCCACTGCAGCACAAGTTTGATCCCTGACCAGGGAGTTACCCACATCACAGCAGACCTCTCCTGACTTGCCTGCTGCTCCCCTCAGCAGTGTATTTCAGTCAATCCACCTGTTCTGTTCCCCACTGTCTCTGGTGAATCCTCTCACCCCCTGCATCTCTGGCCTGTTCCCCAGTTCTTGTATGCACAGATAAATACATATTAAAAAAAAAGAAATAAAAATCAGTCTTAGGAAGTTAAAAGTTATTCTAATTAGAGTCATTAAAAAGAATTACCAACCATGAATTCTTTATTATCATGCAGTGCATCATCTTTGTGCATTGTGATATACCAGTGTTACTTTTTATACAGCTCTGGGTAAATCATTTGCCCTCTCTTTGCTTCTTTAGCATCAGGATATCAATAATGGTCTTTGATAAACTCCTAGTTTCACTTCAGTTTTAAAATAGCATGACTTTATGATCACAAAAGAGCTTATTTCTCTGTTGTTTACTCTGAGTCAACATTTAAGAGAATCATGAAAGACTTCCTGTCTGTATCTATGTATTTATTTCATGGTTTTGAATTCTTCGCTCTCCTTCTTTTCATCTGTTAACCCCATTAATTCTTCAAGTTTCTTCTCCAAATATTTCTTTAATGCTCTTCGTATTGCCTTCATTTTCCTCCGATGAGTGACACAAATATGGAACCTGGAATAAACAAGATAGTCCCAAATTCAACATTAATAGTCTTTTTCTTTAAAACAATACCATCCTTTCCTCTTTCTTTTCTGGATTCCTCTACAAAACTTTTCCCCATACTCCATAGTACTTCCTCTATTTCCTTATGTTCCAACATTTATCCCATCAAACTTCATTTCTTTCCTGTCAGTGTCATATCCTAGTTTTGAAATGACTAATTTCTCCTTATTTCCATTCCTTATTTCCTTTGAGGAAAGGAAAGATTGGGCTGTTTCTTTACCAAAAGAATGCTTAACCCCTATGGTTTTGGAGGGAAAAAAACTCACAGTAACAAGGCACTTCCCAATATTACAGCTTCTGCTAGCAATATCAAAAATAGTGCAATCTCTCGAGCCTCAGCCAACTGTACATCCTCTTCTGGAAGGAGAAAGAATGAAAGTCAGAAGAATGTGAGTTTGGGAGAAGAAAAGAATAACTTGAGAAATTTATCCAAAATAAAAACATCTTTTTTTTTTTTTAAAGATTTATTTATACAAGAACTGGAGTACAGACCAGAGGTGCGGGAGAGTGAGAGAATTCACCAGAGACAGAGCGGGCAGAGCAGGTAGATGGACCCAAGACACTGCTGAGGGGAGCAGTGGGCAAGGCAGGAGAGGTCTCCTGCACCATGTGGGTTTCTTCCCGGTTGGCCAGGAATCAAACCTGTGCTGCAGAGGCTGCGGACAGCTTCACAGCGCTGCGCTCAACCTGCTGCACCACCAAGAAGGCCCATAAAAGCATCTTTTTTAAAAAAAATTAAAGATTTATTCATTTATACAAGAACTGGGGTACAGGCCAGATGTGTGGGAGTGTGAGAGGATTCACTATAGACAGAACAGGAAACAGAACAGGCAGACTGATGAAATACATTGCTGAGGGGAGCAGCAGGCGAGACAGGAGAGGTCTGCTTTGCCATGTGGGATTTTCGCTGGCCGGCTGGGATTGAACCTGCACCTCAGAGGCTGTGGACAGCTTCACAGTGCAGCACTCAACCACCTGCGCCACCAGGGAGGTCTATGAAAGCATCTTTTTAAGCACAAGCAATTTGCTATGTTTACCACATCCATCACTGTTCCCTTGTTATTCTGATCTTAATTACTTTTAGATCCCTAGATTTTACAAATCTTCAGCTCCTATTCCCTTTACCTAATTTCTTTCTCTCTAGTCCAGTCCTTTCATTTCTCATTGCTTTAACCCTGTTGTTAGTAATTCATAGTGGTACAAATTTTGCTCAACATTTTAGCTGTTACTTTTTTGTAACATTAGCATAATCTTCATAGAAGATACTCAGCTTATATATATATATATATATATATATATATATATATATAATAAATCAATGAACAACTCAGCTCCTTGAACCCTGACCCCTCAAAATGCCATATCACAATCTTTGTTACCTCCACAATACTCTCCTTTGAAGCACCTGGCAGTGATGCGAAAACAGGTCCAACAATCCAGGATAGGACCTTCAGTCACAACTGGTCAAGAGAAGAAAAGATAATTGGAAGTCATCTATAGCATAGAGTTTCCTTAATTCAGACATCAAGTGGCATTTCTAGGACTCTTAAGGTTGCATTGTCAGTAATTTCTCCTCATTCTAGCGATCAAGTTCCTTGATGGGTCAAAACCTTCTATAATTTAAGTCATCTCTAGAGAAGAAGTAAGAAATATCCTTTATCTTATGTGGATGCTATGGGCTATAAACTATGCACTTGAAAATGCTGCTGAACACCTCCAAAATCTGGGGTATCAAATTTCCTAAGCTGTATTTTGTCATCAGGTATCATTAATAATCCCCTGGTAACCACAACTTTAGGAATTGAGTTTCGGTGTAAGAGACAGCATAGGTAGGGACCCTTAGGGCAGAGAAGGTGGGAAAATATGGGCTGAAACCTCAATTTGCCACATACACTGTACTCACCACAATCTTCAGAACAAGCTAAAAGAGAATCAGAAAGTTCTAATGAATGGGAATATAACAATAAAATTTATAAAAAAAAAAAAAAAAGAAAGTTCTAATGAGCTTAGAATCAACTTAGAGTTTACCTTATTTATAACCTGTATTTTTATTTGCCCATTAACTTCCAGCAACCCCTTCACCTGTTCTAAATCATTGTACAATGAGGATACATTCCTCTTCTCACCCTACATTTCCTACTCCTTTCACGTAATTTCAGTTTTATTAGACATCTTTTATTACCAATGTCAGAGAAGTTCTGTAATACTTCTTTCACGGTGGATTCCAGATTTTGGCGGACATTGAGAAGCTTGCCTTGAAAGATAAAAACACCTAAGAAAAGGTAGAAGGAGCATCAGAAAATAGGGGTGACCCTTCTCTTCAGGATTCAATCTTCATAAATTTGCCTTGTTTTCCCCAGCCACCTTTCCTCATACTTGCTTGGGCAGTGCAATCTTTGAACATTGAAGTAGTACCTCACCTTTCCATGTTTCATTGCTCAGTCTATAAAGTTCATTCTTCAGGAGTATTCTCAACTTGACAACCTTTTGAACAGCTAGAAGGAGGAATATAAAGATACATGTGGGAAAATAATTATACCTATGGAGAAAATTGTGTGGATCCAGTTACTCTCTCTTCCCTGCCTCCCTTCTCCCTTTAACAACCCCCCCCCAAACTTTCAGGGGCTTAAGCTGCCCTCACCCAACACCCGAAGCGTCTTGTGCCTGTGGGAGACCTTGAAGCTTAAATGGATCAATTCTTTACTCTGCCGTTCAAGCAGATGAGCTCGGCCTGGGACTTCTGAGGGTACCATCTTTGCCAGCAAGGACTTAATATCTTCTTTGAATTTGGGGTCACATTCCAAGCATCCTTTGACCCCATGGAAAATTTCCAAGGACAGGGACAGGAGCAGGAGAAACCACAGGTCTCCCATTTCCTTGCCCTAATCACCCTCTCCCCAACAGCAGGTTGTCTTGGCAACTAGTTCACCTAGTTCCCTTTCTTTGAATAATTCAGCAAGGAGAGCCTTGTGCTGGATAGTCTGACTTCACCCTCCTCTCTGTATCCATCCCACTTCTAGGCAGTTTCATTTCCCTAAAAATCTTCAGATGTTTTCTGATTTTCATCCTTCATTCTAGAGAGTGGGAACTGGCAGCTGGGGAGCAGATACCTGAGTTCTGATTGTAGAACACAGAGAAGTCCTGAGGTCACACAAGCAGAGTTCCATGCAGGGAGGTATCTCAGAGTGTTTCTTCAGCTCTCTTCCTTACTTGTGCCCTTAGTGAATCCCCAAAGTCCTCTTGACCATTGGATACGTATATCAGCAGAGATGGATGGTGGAGGACAACTCCCAGGACCTTAGAGACTGCTCAATCCAAATTCTACTTCTACCGAGTAGGTAATAAAACCCAGAATATTGAGCTTCTTGGGGTCACAACCCCTGATGGTAAAGTATTATTGCGAATTAGCAATAGGTATCTAGATATAATTGATATCATTGATAAAAAGCATATCAATATTATTCAGAAATATATATTTTGTGTTAGATGGTTTCTCTAATTATGCTATAAAAACTTTTTATATCCTCCTCCTTAAAGAGAATCTGGGGCAGGAGAATAGAAATATTAGTTGACGAACATATGGTGATAAATGAGAATCCTGTAATGCTCAGGGTCCTTCATCGAGAACATGTTGAAAGTATGGATGATGAAGTGTATAAGATATAAGAAAATAGCAGTTATCGTAGGCCACTTCCTCAGGCCAGCTATGTGGAAGATGGCCAAATAAAAATGTTTTTTCCTCCAGTTTAAGGTCCTTTGGCTGAGAATGTTCTTTGTTTGAAAAATATTTAGGATGCTGTGCATACTTTCAGAGTACTTGTTATCTCTTTTATAATATGCTGCTTGTATGGCTGTGACTTCCTAGAAACCAGGAGACTCTGGGATACTAAAAACTTAACAGAGGACTTTAGCCTAAGGAATCGGAGAATCATATAGTGCAAGAGTATGGGAAAAATAAAAAACTACCACTAATTTCATGTCTACCATGTGTCAGGTATTTTGATAAACATTTCAAATAGTTTATCACATACTTTGAGAAATTATCACCATTTTACAGATAATAGAATCTAAGATAAAAAACAATGCTTCCTGCAATGTAAGTAAGTAGTTATAGAATCAGGATTCAAACGCACGTCTCTCTGACTCCAAGCTGTGTATTTCACCACTGCCTCTCTACAGTTGTTTTTAGGAAACTGCAGAAAACATTCTCTTGAAATTTGATAAACTAAAAGATGGGGTGGGTCAATTAAAATCTTTTGATACTCCAAAATCATCACCCTCTGTTCTGATTTTACATTCCTTTGGCTACATGTGCTCATCTTTAGAGGATCTCCTAAGGAATTTTACATGCTGAGGTCTGAAGGCACATGAGGATTGGATACTTTCTTTAAGAAGCAAAACTGGAGATTAAGGGGGTTAAGTCATTTGGCAAACAGGTGACCAGGTATGAGGACAAATTTTTCTTCAGGAGAAAATATATATAATAGAATCTGGGAGACAGAGTATAATGACAACTTTGGAGGCTACAAGAAGTCCTGGATATTGATTTTGCTACCTGCATGATTGCAGTATGTTGGGCTCAGACAAAGGTCATTGATCAAGACCGTGATAACTTCAGGATGAAAACCAGCAACACGTTCAGTAACTATGACTTGGATTTCACAGTTGGAGTGGAGTTTGGCAGTACAGACATGTTCTGAACAGGCATTACGTTAAGTTGCTGATCACCTAGGAAAGGAAGGTTCTTGTATGTGTGCAAAGAGGCTAGAGTGGGCAGTGTGACTGAAGGTAGAGGGTTAAGTCTAGGGGCAAGCTGCACCTGCAGCAGATGTGTGGCAATGAGGCATGCCATCCAATTTTCAAAAGGGAGGCCTGCCATCCCATGTGCTCCACACTCCCACTGAGAGTTCTCTGCCGTCTGTGTGAAGCACCATGTGGACACTTCTGACAGCCCATTAAGGCACCCGGATGAGTTTTAGCCAGAATGAATATGTAGTAGAAACAGATATATTCTTCCTTCCTTGAAACCTAGCATTAAATTAAAAAAAAAAAAAAAGAGGGCCTCCCCTGGTGGCCCAGCGGTTGAGCCCTGGGCTGCGAAGCTGCCCACAGCCTCTGCAGCACCGGTTCGATCCCTGGCCACCGGCGAGGGTCCCACATGGTGCGCAGACCTCTCCTGGCACACCTGCTGTTCCCCTCAGCATCGTATTTTGTCAGTCTGCCTGTTCTGTTCCCCGCTCTGGCTCTGGTGAATTCTCTCACCCCTCTGCACTTCTGACTGTACCTGGTGCTTGTATAAATAAATAAATAAATCTTAAAAAAAAGAGAAAATGTATATTATATACATAAAATATTTTCTAGTTATTATTAGATACCTTTATTTTTGCATTGGACAGTTAGATAGGATATGCTGTGGTATTACTAAATAATTCTGCCTCATTCCATGGTGTATTAACTTGACTTTGACCTATTGTCTACCAGCCACCTTTATCTTTGCTTCACCCTTCCAGGTTAATCTGCAAGTCATAGTTTTTTAGGATGAGAGAAAAAATAATTTGGCTTTTGGATATCTTGGGGCTATCTGAAATAGCAAGCCATCTCCTAAAAAGATGGTGGAACTTATAGGGGGCATATAAGAGGGAAAATAGTGGAAGCAATATTACTGTCATGGAATAAACTGTCACCAGATAACAATAGACTGTGCTGAAGGTAAAGGCAGAGGTGCACACAGAAATCTATGGGGAGACAGAACAGCACTAAGTCTGAAGGAATTTCTTACAGAAAGGCTGGATCCAGGAGTGTGGAAACAAAAATTAATGGATATCTGGTGATGAGTGAGAAACCAGTAATATTCAGGAGTTTGGGGAGAATTTCCCTAAAAGTACTGATGATGAAAATAACCACAGTTATCATGGGTAGTTTAAATTTCATAAATGTAAGATATTTGAGCATTACTTAATGTGTCTAGAGGCAAAAGGCTAACATACAAACTGAGATATTGAGGATGCTAATATTTGGTTTGGATTGGCATGGAGGGAATATGATTTATAGTCAGCATAAATTTTTAGAATAACAGATTTGATTAAAATGGTAAAACATATCATGATAGCATATTCATTCTTAATATTATACAAAATGTATGATCGTTTTTGATTTTACACAAATAAGGTGCTCATACTTAGTGTTGTATGTTTTTGTCCTATAACAATATTAGAGAGTTCCCCTATTAAGTGTTAGAATCCATGGTTTGATAGCATTTGACTGTCACAAATCATAATGCAATGAAGTTTAAAATCTGAAAAGGTTTCATCACGAATACCAGGAACTTCTTAGAGTAGTTTTTGTTCATTCCTTAATAGATGCGGCTTCCAGATCTATAAAAGAATCTCTAATTCAAGTTTTTTATAGCCCCTTTTCTTGTGCATTATTGGTCCCAGCTGATCCCTACTGTAGTGCTTCCCCCACATGTCACTTCACAGAATTCCCTAGAAGTTTCTAAACAATCTACCTCTTATAGTTAGTTAACAGTCACCCTCTTACAGATAGTAATCTGAGATTAGGGAACTATTACTTGGTATTTAGCTATTATACATTATCTATCTAGGCAGCACAGTAAATGTAATTATAAATTATTATGTGTTAGATTGTCAAATGAAAAATATTTTCTGTATACCTCTCCATTTATATTTCATTGTCATCAGTTTTTGTCCTCTTGGTATAATCATGTTCTTGGAAAAGTCATAGAGTTGAAGCCTGGTTGACTTTGAAGGAATTCTGTTTGCTAAGAAAACAAAGTGAAATTGAAGCTGATTCCATCAGGAGGGAAATTGTAAAGAACAAGGGGAGAAGAATAATGGAGGATAAAGATGTGTACCCTAACCTCTTCTGTCGAGGTGAGGGTCCCAAATAGGGAAGACACATGAGTTTAAAGGAAACACTGAGAAGAGTGGGCTTTTGCCCTGCAGCCTGTAGGTACCCCTAGTATTACTGCACTCTCCCATGTACAGGTTACTGTACATGAGAAATAGTATTAGCATGTAAGGATTGGCTAATAGTGGGTACCCCTCAAGACAATGCCAGGTGTGGAAAGACCAATACACTGTGCCACTGGCTGCCAGGTGAGGGTACTCAGGATCTGGTGGGAAACTTGCCAGGGTGTATGGTCAAGGCTTCTGGTAAAGGGACACTCTGACTGAGAGCTATAGAGAAAATTGCTTACTACCAAGAGAAAAGCAGTTTGCAGCAAGCCAGTGGGTCTTGATGGATCCAAATTCTCTGAAAAGGCCATCAGATCCTGAGGAAATAGAAAACAGGCCCACAAGTGTTCCACACACAGGGTTTCCTAGCAAATACCATAGGAAGTGTCAGACATGGGTGTTGCAATGTTACCTTAGAAGATAAAATCACATTGCTAAAGAGGTAAGCAAATATCCTTAAAGTTAAAAATAAATGTTATCATGCAAGGGTATGTGTCAGTGAAGAAATTCACTGTATAGTTCTTTGAGGGTGAAAAGGCAGGGCTTTTAAGTACTAGAGAATTTGTGGTGGCTATACTTATTACCATTCTGGGATGTTTGATAGATGGATTGAGTCCATCCTTGGACTTGTAATTGGCTAAAACAAGCCTGAATTTTCAGTGATTAGGAGGACATTTTTAAAAATTTTATTGACATCATTGGTTTACATAGTTGTTAGTATTTTGTAAGTATAGGCTCTCCCTAAAAATCTCCCTAAGATTTATTTATGCATGCAAAAACTGGGGTACAGTCCAGAGGTGTGGGGGGTGAAAGGATTCACCAGAGACAGAATGGGGAGCAGAATAGGCAGACTGACTGAAATACACGGCTGAGGGGAGTAGTGGGTGAGACAGGAGAGGTCTGATGCACCATGTGGCTAGCTGTCTGGCCGGGGATCGAACTCCTGTTGCAGAGGTTGCAGATAGCTTCATAGTGCTGTGCTTAACCCCTTGCGTCACCAGGGAGGCCCCTTGGAGTATGCTTTAATTAGATGCAAGGCAGTTCTAGCTTCCCAGAAGTACTCAACATTTATGGTTTCATCAGTTTCAGATTTAGGGCTAGTTGGTGTGAAACATACCAGTTTTCATATC